ACAAGAACTTGTTGACAAATTGTAGTTAACAACTAAGAAGTACCCATAACCATACAAAGTTGAATGGGTCAATGACATGACAATTCCAATAACTGGACACTGGTTAGTTACTCTATAGGCAATTGTTATGTTGATTCAGTGTGGTATGAAAAAATTCCTATTTGAGTTGCTCACATCTTATTAGGAAGATCACGAATCTATTATAGAAAGGTATTACATGATGGGGAAGCCGACACCTATTCATTATTTTATAAGGGCATAAAACCAAGTTGTTGCCCATGAATGATGAAGAGCCTCTTATGAAAAGACAAGACTTTACCATGCTGTCTATGAGGAGGTTTTCACTTGAAAGAAACAAATAAAGGATTGTTTATGCCCTTGTGACTTGAGAAGTGCCTGTTGAAGATTCTAGCCAGCCCTTTGAAGTATTGACTTAAAGTGAAGGATCTTTTGAATGACATTTCAGACTTGATTCTAAAAGAGCTTCTTAATGAGTTCCCACCCTTGAGGGAAATCCAACATGTTATTGATCTTCTTCCTGGATCTATTTTGCCCAATACCTACCTATAGAATGAATCCAGCTGAGCATGAAGAACTCAAGAAGCAAGTAGAGGATGATGGATTGCTCAACAAAGAATTTGTTTAAGAAAGCCTTAGTCCTTGTGTCATACCAGCTCTTCTTACACCTAAGAAGGAAGGTAGTTGATGTGCATTGATAGTTGGGAAATCAATAAAATAACTATTAAACATCGGTTTCCTATAACAAGACTTGATGATATGGTTGACATGATGACTGGAACTACTGTATTTTCTAAGGTTGATCTCTGAAGCAGGTACTACCAAATTCGAGTTTAACGGGAAATAAGTGGAAGACCACCTTCAAAACAAAGGATGGGTTGTACAAATGGTTAGTAATGCCTTTCGGACTAACCAAGACTCTGAGCACTTTTATGAGGGTGATGACTCAGGTACTCCAATCCTTTCTTGGCAAGTTTGTAATTGTTTATTTTGATGATATCTTGGTATATAGCCATGACAAGGAAGAACACCAAAATCACCTTAGACAAGTGTTGCGAGTTTTACGAGCAAAAAAAGCTATATACCAATCCCAATAAATGCACTTTTATGGCTGTACAAGTTGTATTTTTAGGACTTGTTGTCTCTGGACAAGGACTATAAGTTAACCCCAAAAAGGTGAAAGCCATCCTAAACTGGCCTATGCTTGCTAGCATATCTGAAGTTTGTAGCTTTTATGGATTGGCCACATTCTACAAGAGGTTTATTAGAAATTTAAGCACTATCATGACTCCCATCACATAATGCCTAAAAAAGGGGACTTTTCAATGGACCAAGGCTGCTAAGGCATTTGAAGGCATTAAGGATCGACCAATAAAAACACCAATCTTGTGATTGCGAGATTTTAACACAGTTTGAATCCCATTTACAGGACAACCTAGAAGCTTGAGGGTTGGACCATATACACCTCCTCCAAATTCCCAGTAAGGAAGGTATTCTTAACATGAGTTGATGAAGGCTCCAATCTATGTTAGTAGTTTAAGACAAAAAAACTTGTAGAGGGTTTATTTTAGCAATTGGGGCAAAGGTCTCTGCATAATCAACCCCATACACTTGTGAGAACCCCTTTCGCCAGTGTGAGCTTGTCTTATACTGCCAGTCCCAAGCCCAGATAAAGGAGGAGGGTGAGTCAGGTTGGCAACAAACAGTAAAACTTTTGCCAAATTCACATGATATGGATCCTGATTTGTCTTTCTTTGCAAGGCTTTATAGAACAGATTGGTGAAACAGGATTCATGTAGCCAACCCCATATAGTTGGGACAAGGCATGGATGATGTTGATGAGGAAGATGACACTTGTGACAACACTATTGCGACCAATCTTGCTTTTCTACCAAAACATCTACCCAATGTTTCATCAAGGATAACCATTTACATTGTACAAGTTCTTTCCCTTCAAGAAGATCAACTAATTCTCATGTGTTGTCCTTATGAAATGCACCAATCTTCTCCTTCATAGCATCTATCCATTTAGGTAAAGCCAAGGCTTCTGTAACATTCTTAGGGATAGACACATTAGAAATAGCAAAAAGAAATCATGTAAGGAAGATGATAAATTATTGCAAAAGGTGAAATGGGTAATAAGATGTTTGGTAGTGCATGAAAGCAAGGTTCAACCATTCAAAGTATCAATACGTATCGGCCCGTGTCGTGCTGATGGCTTACCGATACGCCCCTCCAAGGGTTGTATCAGGTCAGCCACCGGTTCAGAGGGTAGTCGGGCCTCAAACCAATCCCTTTGAACCGGTTTCGGGAAAAAAATGTGTCAATATTTAGAACCTTGGGTACGTATTGTGCCAATGGCTTACTGATACGCCCCTCTAGGGGTTCTATTGGGTCAATCACCGGTTCAGAGGGTAGCCAGGCCTTAAACTGACCCCTCTGAACCAGTTTCGAAAAAAATAAATAAAACGTAAAAAAAAAATGTACCGACACAGACCGATATTTAGAACCTTGCATGAAAGGGACATCTTTAAGAATAGAAATGGGAAATCAAGATTATCAGTAGGAACAAGCTTACCTTGTTTTGCAGACGTGTAATACCCTTCAAGTTTGCCTTCTGCAAGCCAATTGGTGTTTGTTGCATGGTTTTTGATCTCTCTACATCTTGTGATATGTGGTGATCCTTATGGTGACGAGAACAAACACAAGGAGGTATGGAATCTACAAAAGATGAAATGAGACTAGTATAGACATAGGAAGACAAACTTGCCTCTCATCTAGACAGAGTCCTTCCCCTAAGGAGAGGGAGGGAAGAAAGGTTGACTCTCAAAAATGGCACACTCAAAGAGAAAAAACTTTGAGGACAAAGGATCAAAACACTTATAACCTTTTTGAGAGGAAGGATAACCAAGGAAGACAAATGGGATAGAATTAGAGTCTAGCTTACCACATGAGGGAGATAAATTGTGGACAAAACAACAACAACCAAAAATATGAAGAGGAATGGGCAATAGAGGATATTGAGGAAATAACAAATGATATGGGGTTTGATAATGCAAGATAAAGAAGGCATCTATTTATCAAGTATGTTACAGTCAACACATTGCAATAAACCACAAGCAACTTCATGTAAATGTCGGCTCTTCTTTTTTAGTAACACCATTTTTTATGGTGTTTTAAGAGAAGAGTTCTGGTGGATAGAACCACAAGCAACAAAAATCTCCTTCGAAACACATTTAAGGTATTCCTTTTTTTTTTTTTTTGAAAAGGTAAAGTAAAATTTGTATTAATCAAAAGGAGAAAATATGCATAGCTGCTAACTGTACAAGCTTACGTACAACTGAGCACTACTTTAAGAAAACTCAAAAAAATTTACAGCCACACAAGAGGCCAGAGCATCCCCCTTGAAGAGCAAATTGGTACTCAGCTACCCTCTGAGGTCATCTACAATTAAGTTTATCACCCTTTCAACCTGAAGTTGCTTTTGATAAAAAATCTTCCTATTTCTTTCCCTCCATATTGACCACAGAACTGCCAGAGGAATTGCTGTCCACAAGATCCTACTTTTTCTGCTCTTACCCCTGACTTTCCAACTTTCCAGAAGGGCCTTTACAGAATTAGGTAATCAAGTAGAACACTGAATAGCTTTGAGAAAGTGTGCTCAGATTTTTGAAGAAAACTCGCAGTGGAGAAATGGGTGATTGGAGGTCTGTTTCCCCTTACCACATAAAATGCAGGTTACATCTGACAGAACTAAACCTTTTCTAATCAACATCACCTTCATCAAGCACTTTTCTTCAGCAGCCACCCAAACAAAAAACTTCACTTTAGAGGGGGCCAAACCACTCCACACTAATTGAATGGGGAAAGAGCCTAGGGATGCAGACTCTAAACCAGAATAAAAAGATTTCACTAAAAGGCTTCAGACTTTGACCAATCCCAACAGCTCCTATTCTTTGTGTTGTCATACTGAAACATTTGTATCTTAATATAAAACTAAGTAGAGACCATATGATGGAAGTCTTGAATCCTTGGGAACTTCCACCCTAGAGTGGAGAGGATATATCCATGTTCACCTTGAGTAATCATCAATAAAGCTAATAAAATATTTGTAACCACCCTCATCAGTAAAAGAAGTAAGGCTCCATACATTGAATGCGCAACATGGAGAGGACATTCGGATCTTTTATTACTTGGAGGAAAAGTTCATATACTCAATTGACACATTTGAAATTGCAAACAGGATACCAAAACAGACTTGAACAACTCAGGAAACAAGACTCTTAAAGACACAAAAGACAAATGCGCAAGAAGGTGGTGCCACAAACGAGAAATGCCCAGGACTCTATTTTCAACTTGAGGTGGAGTGTTGAAAAATGGATTGTAACTGTGTTTTTCTTTTCTTATTGTTCCTATTAGACAGTGGGCTTGCTTATTTTTCTCTTCTTTTATTTCCACAAACTACTATAAATAGGACTGGGAGACACAATGGCTCCATTATTTGGAGTTCTCTCCAATTCTCTTCTACCATCATTCTCTCTTACAATAATACAGTTTTTTCTCTTATTTTTCTGTATTTTCTCCTTCAACTATCTTCTCTTGAACTTTCTTTTATTTCCAGCACCTACAGTTCTTTCACTATTTTAAAAGATTAGGGGCAGCACCAACAAAAGATTTTACATATGTACAAATTTATTGGCTAAAAATGAAGCAGGGACTAACATCAGAGTTTAAAAATGAAACAAGTTTACATCATTCTCTCTTACAATTCCACAGTTTTTTTTTCTTTTATTTTTTCTGCATTCTCTGCTTCAACTATCTTCACCTCTTCAACTCTCTTTTATTTCGAGAAACTACAGTTCTTTCACCATTTTAAAAGATTAGGGGTAGCACCAACAAAAGAATTCACACGTGTACACATTTATTAGCTAAAAATGAAGTGGGGACTAACATAAAAGTTTAAAAACAAAACAAGTTTACACCTCTACAAGTGCAGCTTCTTTTCTGGGGAAAGATCCAATAATAGAAGGAGACACCCTAACATCCCTTGCCCCTTTAATCATGGCTGCTTCAGTCCATCCCAACCTAACCTGCAAAGCCACAATGACAATTCAAAACTGGATAGTCAAATAAAACTTGCCAAAATAATTCAGTATATTTTCTCCTAATTTTTGCCTAAATTTGACATTTTTTAAAACAAAAGGAGAAAACAGATTGACAAAGCAGAGTAATGCTCTAATACTATGATCAGAATGAAGAGGTCCCACAAAACAGGAAGGGGGAAATCCAGATTGGATGCACTAACCACATGATGAAGGGAAGCTCGAAGGACACAGGCCTGCTCATCTTGGTATTCAACTCTCTGCCTTTGTTCTTCTTTTGAGCTGTGGGTCTCATAGTGAGGACTTGCCGCACCTTCTGCTGTTGATGATGATGATGATGATGATGATGATGATGATGATGATGATGATGAAGCCTTGATTTCAGGGTGTAGTTGATAATTATTAGGATTTGGGGGAGATAAAGGTTGAGTATTGGAATCTGTGGAGAAATGAGAATAGTTGCTAGTGATGATAGGAGAGAAAACAAAATGTCTATTTGTATTATTGATATAGGATGGAAGCACAAAAAGGCACTTCACCACCGAGCGATACATCTCAAAGATGCTAGGAGCATTCAGTGAGATTCAGAGCAAGAGGTTCTGCTTGCAGAAAAGTGGGGGAAAAAGATCAAAAGCCTTGTAAACAGGTAAGGCATACATCAAAACAGCTCTGCTACAGGTTAAATGTATCTATACACAATTAAGTAAAAACTAATCAGGCAGCAGCACATAGGAAAAAAACATAGACCAAACATAAGAACAACAAACATAGAAGGCATGCATCAAAACAATTTTGCTACAGGTTAGAAAAGGCATACATCAAAACCATTCTGCTACAGATTAATGTTATCTTTAATGCGGACAAGAAAAATTAACAGTGCATACTACACTAAACAGAAAAGACATACACAAATAGGTGTACTATAAAGCATATATAATTCTTGTTGTGAGTTCAAAAACCTAGTTGGTTACTTTCCCAACAAACTAGAAGCAGAACCTCACCACACAGGTATGTCAACAAGGAGCCCACATTTGTAGCTTAAAAGCACCATGGTAGAACTAAGATGAGGAAAACTTGCACAAGTTATACCAGATTGAAGAGATCATAGGTAAAACGATCACATATTTATAACGATTACAGATATTAGTGGGTTGGGTTAAGTGGTAAACCTGCATTTACCCAATCCTATCGTATTAGGGTTGGTTGTATCTTTATAATCTTTTTCTTCAGTTTTCCTTTTTTTTTCTTTTTCTTTTTTTTACTTTCTTATAAATATCAATCTTCTATAATTTTTCAGCACATAAAAAACAAGAAACCAAAACATTTAGACAAAATAGAAATCAGGGGATAATCAATATCCTGATGGTGAGCAATGAATGCAAATGATCCACAACAGAAGGGAACAAAGTTGTATCTGATGTGTGATCCATAAAGGGAAGATGCCAACTACACACATAGGTGTAATTGATAACAAAACTGATCTGCAATTAACTCATAAAAAAACAGAAAAAACTGGTATGCAATTAACAAAATGCCTACTTTGAGAACTTGAACAAATTGAAACAAGGACACCAGTGCATTAGATGCTAAGTAATCAAAATATTTAAAACAGAGCATCCTAACAAGGCTAATACATTGGTCAAAAACCCTGAACTCCTTACAGTTTTTCACTTTTGATGGCTTCTGGAAGAACTGGTTGGAAGTGGCAAATAGTTCTACAGGAAGAAGCAGATCCATTACAGCTTGGACTCCACCTTTGGAAGGGTTTATAAAACTGAATTTTGATGGGAGCAGTCAGGATAATCCTGGCTTGTCTGGAGTAGGTGGAGTCTTGAGAAATGAGGAAGGCTCTGTCTTATCTTTGTTTTTGGGGCCTGTGGGTATAGAAGACTCCACTAGGGCTAAGTTGCTTGCTGCTGTACAAGGCATTCAGATTGCAAATCAACTTGGGATTAGAGGTGTGCGGCCTGTGGAAAGTGCGGGCCGTGCTTCCCTCCCCTGGGATACTTTGGGGGGTTGGCCTGGCACGGCCCATGGCCTAACCGCCCAAGCCCGCGTGGATCCATGACGTGCTGCAAGCTGGGCTGGTCCACGGGCTGAGCCTTGGGTCAGGCTGGGCCAAGCCATGTTTTTAAAAATTAAAAAAAAAAATAATGAAAATTTTAACATAAATTAAAAAATAGACAAAAAATTAAAAAAGATCTTAAAATTTTATTTTATATGAATTTTGATGTATATAATTGTTTATATATTCAATAATAAAATTGAAAATAAAATTATATATATTATATATTACATATAGTATATAATATATAATATATTCATATTATATTATATATATATATATGGACTGTGCCGCTCGATTGTGTTGTGCTATGCCGGCCCGTGGGCCTAAAACCCTACGTCTGGCATGGCCCATACAACCATGTTGTGCCTGGCACAGCCCGCAGTCCGTCGTGCCGGGCCAGCTCAAAATTGTGTTGAACCGCAAACGACATGGTCCGATTTACACCTCAACTTGGGATGAACAACTTAGTCATAGAGGGTGATTCTAAGGTGGTTGTGGGGTGGTTGCCGAAGTCGGATTCTGTTACTTGGGAGTATAGGGATCCACAAAAGAAAATTAAGTGGCTGACTTTGCATATGACTAACAAGATACAATGGGTGAACAGGTCTGCTAATGCAATGGCATATTTGTTAGCCAAACAAGGGGCTGCTAGGGATTCTCTTTCTTGGGCTGTGTTGTAATTTTTAGTTTCAGCTTTAATTGTATAAGGGTGACGCTGCATCTCGTTCCCCCCTTGGGATGCTTGTATCAGTTTTTATCCTTTGATAATAAAATCCAATTCATTTATCAAAGAAATCAAAATATTTAAAACACACAAATAAGACACAAAGATGCATGAAAAAGATTCCGATCAAAGTTTAGCATAGTTATATTGGAGATATACAACGAGCGGATTCTATAAGGAAGATGCAAAAAGTATGAGAATATAAAAAAAGATAACAATGAATGTTTTAGTAATTATTCATAAATGTCTCTCAAAATCAAGAAGCTGAATAACTACCAACTAAGAATGACCCACAGTAAGAACATATTCTTTTTGCTTTCTTAGTGGGTCAGATTACCATGCAGAACTACCAATAAGAAAAAATGATTGGTCTGCAGAACTGTATGAACAATAACCCAAAAACGAAAACATTATAACTTTTTTTTATTGAAAATAGTAACTTCATTAAACAAAACTTAAAAATAAAACTGTCACCCTAGAGTAGGGTTTGAGGTACAATCACTGAGTCACACAACTTCCCAGAACATGTTCCCCCTAACAGCCCCCTGTTTAGCTAATGTATCTGCTAAACCATTAGATGATCTTCTTATCCACTTGAAGTAGACACCAATCTCTCTTGTTAGGCTGATAATTTCCCTCATCGACTGCCTATGTATCCATGCCCCCAAATAACCTGATTGCAGCCACCCTATTACCAGCTTTGAATCCCCTTCTACTTCTACTTGTTGTAGTCCTAGCTGCTTTGCGTATCTTACACAGTTACACCTTGTAGTAATGTCATTATTTTCGCCCTCAAAGAGTCACCCACACCCAATGTTTTAAAAACCGACCCAGAGGCCAAACCGTTTTTGTCTCCAGGTTGCGGGTCACCGGTTCGACCCGCCAGGTCGAACGGTTCAGACCGTGCCATGTCAGCGCATATATGTATTAAGTATATATATTTATATACATATATATATAAGTGTGTGTATATATATGTATAAATATATATATTTAGCAATAAATAATGTATAAATATGTTTTAGATGGTTATATGTATTATTTTGTATTTAATTTATGTTTTTTAATTCAGTTTTTAATTTTTTATTTATAAAAATATTAAAAATTGCAATTTGAGGCCAAAAAGAGTTTTTTTTCATGAAAATAGCGGGGCAAGGCGCCTACGGCAATTTGGGACACATAGATCTCAAAAAGTTATCCAAAATAAAAAAACACCCCAATTGGACACTAGAGTGCAAAGTTATGACCTCCAAAAGTTTATGTGCATTGAGTGTGCAACCCACAACCCGGTTACCGGGTCAAATGGGTCAACGATCAAACCGGACAGGTCAAACTGTTCTTGACCAATTCAATGGTTTTGACCGTCTGATAGGTCTTGACTGAACTGGACCCAGAATCCTGGTCGGGTGATGGTTTGAATGGTTCGACTGGCCGGCTCAACGACGGGTTGAAAACATTGCCCACACCTATTGGGCCCGAGAACAATGCTAAAATTCTGCCTTCTCCATCTCTGAAGACACCCTTATACCAGAGGGTCCTGGGTTGCCTAAAGAACTACCATCAGCTTTATTCTGTTTTGAGTTGGTGGGGACCAAAATTCCTATAACACAGGTTTAAGGGCGCTTAAACTTGCCACAACACCCTAATTCCTATAAATATCTTCAGCTGAGAAGTCTTTAAGTACATGCAGAAAGTGTGGCCATTTCACGCAGATTCAAGTGTCGGAACTTAAGTCCGTATAAGTCCACCCTTCCCAAGATCCCGAATATCCAGGACATTATAACTTGAGAAAACATTATAACTTGACAAACTTGAGAAAACAGATTCAAGTCTGAGGGTGGCCGCTTCATGCAGAAAGTGTCGGAACTTAAGTTCGTATAAGTCCACCCCTCCCAAGATCCCGAATAGCCAGGACCAGCATTGAGTAATAACCTTCACATTAGTTTGACAAGTTGCTGCAGAAATCATCTTAAGAATAAAAGAAACAACATAAACTTCTAGTGGGTCAATTGAATTCATGCTACCCATCAATGTCCATAGTGACTTGAATGATCATAAGAGCAAACGCATTTGATAAGAAAAGCAATTACACAAGATCATGATTAATTCAATCCCAAGAATAGCTTGAGCTGATTGCTTACAAGAATGCTGCCAGAGAGAGACACTGCCAAAAGGAGTTCACTTGGGTCATGTTTGGTTCAATTCTCACTTTATCTCATCTTTACCTAGAATGAAATTCTATGATGGGCAAGAATTGGAAAAAATGAGCATAATGAGAAAATATTGCTGTGAACCTGATGAGGCAAAAAAAAAGTGTGAATGAATTCTGTTTTGCATGCTTTTTTTGTAGTGGGATCCCAAATTGTTGTCTTTGGGTAGCTTTGTTGACAGTTTGGGACCAGGGGTATTTTCGTCATTTTATAAGTCAGGTTTTTGGTCAGGGGCAGTTGGGTGCATTTCTGTTGGGCTTTGGTCTCTTGGGTCATTTTGTAACAAAAGTTATTTTTTGAGGGCTCATTTGAAGTTAGTTTTGTTCTTAAGGAGTTGCTTGTGAGAGGGAAACATCCTAGGGGCTTATGTGTAAATATCTTAACCAGCTTTTCCAGCAAGCCAGTGGGTCTTATAAAAGAGAAGGGGGCTGTTTCTATAAGGGTCTTTTTTGGTTCTTCCTCTCTTGTTTGAGCTGTAGCTCAGCCCCCCAGCTAAGGTTTTCAAGTATTGGGAGCTTGGGTTTTGAGGAGTCGACCCATTTTGGCACCTTCCAGTCCCTCCATCGCTGTGTGTCCGTGCAGGAGGCCAGCTTGCTGCCATTGTTACTGTAGTGAAACTGTTCCAGGAGGAGTTTTACTTCAGGTTCAGGTCTGAAATCCCTAAAAATCCAATTTATTTTGTTGTTTTCAGCTTGGTATTTCTTGTGATTATTGTTGTATACTTGAGGTACTGCATGTAATTTGTCATTTGTCTTTCTGTCCACATCAGAACCAAATACTTTTTTCCAAAAAAAAAAAAAAGAATTCTTTTTTAGGCAAGAATGAGAATGAATTTAGATTTGTATGGTTACAATTTCCAATCTCATTCCTTTTGAATTAACATTTTGTGCTATATTTAGGTGTGATTATTTGTAGCCCAGATTGGGCCTAGGTTTTGTTTTCAGCCTGGCCTGGGCTGCCTGGGCCCACATTAATAATTACTTACCATGTGGGTCCTGCACATAAAACCTCATTTATATGCTTTATCATTCCATTGCAAAAAATGAAAGGAAAAAGAAAAAATTCCAATTCTACCACTATAATATATTGGTTAATTTAACTAGGCCAATTTTAAAACAAATCATGAACTTCTACTAATTGGAACTCAAAATTTAGAATTATATAACAAAAAATAAATAAGGATCCAACTCCTAGTACAACAACTAATCACTCATCAGCCATAAGTAAATCAATGCAATTATAAGGCATGACAAAAATCAAAAGATAGAACTATTTGTTGTCTTTAGGCCTAAGATTAAGAACCAAAATGTAAGCTAGACAAATCTATCCAAATAGTAAAATTAATACAGGTCAGTGCTATCATAATGTGTTGAGAAATGCTTTATGCTCTGGATGCCTTTGAGATTTTGACAGTTCTTTTTCCAAAACTTCCTATATGAGCAAGAGTTGCTAATCAGCAAAAAGTTACCTTAGCAACATGCCATGTCCTTAATGATAGATCAATGTACGCAAATATGTTTCTTCAACAACATGAAACCACCTATCATGCCAAAGTGGCTTGGATACAAATATGCAATTCCTGCCACTTTAACATGACAATCTCAAACTCACCTTGACTAATCTATATGCATAAACAAGTGTTTAGGTTATCCCAAAAAAAGTGACCTAAGTTAAGAACCAAGCAAAATGCAGAAGACATTGGAAGTGTGGTGCCAATAAGATTATGAATCAAATTTAAGAACCTATACTCAAAGCATTAGGAGAATTATATGTTGCAAACCAGAAACAAAGTATTACTCTGTGCTTGCTAACCAGATGGCCCTGCTCGCAACTAGAAGTTTGGGTGCTCCCAACCTAAAGTCATAGTTGGAATTGATCACATGCAAACCACTATAAGCAGATGGCTCTGCTTGCAATCGTCAGAACTTTTGCCCCAAATAGAAGGGACAAGTTTGGGTGCTCCCAACCTGACCTCAAAACTATTTTTTTCCTTGTCTTTAATTCTTAAAGACAAATTACCAAATTACAAACTAAGTCTGCATCATAAACTATAATAGAACAACTCACACAATATAACAAGGAACAAAAGAAAATAAATACATATAGCTTTTTAGGACTTGCTGAAATCTAACCATCTGAACAAACTTTGGAAATGACCCAAACAATAAATTCTTGTCCACATGTCTATGGGGTTTGGGTGTTGAGATTGATGCACTTTAACAAGAGTAATTCCAAGTAAATATGGTGTTAGCTTGTATGCCACTTTCAACCAACACGTTGTATAGCATACTCATTCAACCTTGCCCTCAAATAACCATTCAAGATTGACATCCATGAAACAACATATCTTTTCTTTTTTTTTTGATAAATAATGAAACAATACATCTTTCCATCATTCTATCTAACACCTTACGAGCCTCCAATAATTTACCAACTCTCAGATAACTAGAAATCAAATTATTATCTACAAACATCACAGGAGTTCTTAAACATTTTATAATGATTGCATGTAATCTTCTAACTTCTTTCACAGCATAAGATGATCAAATAAGGAAGCAAGCACATCAGGATCCCTCAACATAGAACCGAATAAATTGACTCTTGGGTTTTGTGTAGAATGGGGAACATGGTAGAGGTTCTGTATTTTGTTAAAAACAAGAGATTCTGACAAGAAAAAAAAAAGTCAAAAACTATGATATTTTATGAGATTCTTGTACTACTTCTAGTTTGTCCTAATCTGTCTGCTCTCTTTTGGTGATTAGGATGGTTGAGGAAACAACAAGCTAGTTAAAATTTAGGAATGTATAAGAAGCGGGTGAAATCATTGCAGGGATTAGCCGTTTTCACGGGAACACAGACGATTTGAATCTATGATGATCCCTATTCTTACTGCCCTAAGCAAAGAAAAGGAAGAGAGAGGAGCAAGGAGCAAAATCAGAGGGCAAGCTCTTACCGGATTCCACTCTATTGCTAAGACAGTTGTGAATAACTAAGAGAGAGAGAGACAGAGAGAGAGAGAGAGGGGAGGGGGGGAGTCCAAGGAAGAATGAGAATTGGCAGCTTGGGCACGCTGATTCGATTTTTGTGCCATAGGGCCACTTTTCATTTTTAAAAAAAGGAGGCCCATGGCAAGAATTTTGAATCCAAACGCTTACATCTTGATCATTGTTGCCCAGCCTTTGCCGTCTGCCGGTGGAAAAGACGGCCAAGTAACCTATATTATCACTTTAAGATTCTTTTAAACATGGGTAACATGGCTTTGTTATCAACAGTAGGAAGGAGCCTTTCCCTCCTTCCATGGAGGATAAAATTTTTTCCAAGAGCTTTAGCCATTTACACTACTGTTCTGTTACCAAAATCCTGAAATTTAATCCGAAATATATGCGTAACGTTAATTAATTCAAATTGAAGTTTGCAATGAATCGTTCCTAACTTAAATGAACACCGGATTCAAGATTTGATGCCTGTTAGTTTGAGCTTAGAATTGAGGAGAGGGTAGGAATTAGATGAAGATTGAGAGAGTGAGCGAGCCACAGAGAGAGAGAGAGAGAGAGAGAGAGAGATCATACCTGAAATGAAACACAATCACTTGCTCGGAGCTCCGACGGAGACAGAGAGACAGAGAGCTTCTACGCGGCTACGAACATCAAGACGAGCCACGTTGCTCGGGAGAACGAGGTATACTTCGAGTCCGGATTATCTGGGCTCTTGTAACCAAGCACGTGTCCCTGCTTGATAGTAGTGGTGCTGAACCGGGCATGGTCGTACCTATGATAATGGCTATAGTTTAGGCCCACGCCCGGTCTTATTCGGGTTCAGGCTTAGAACGTTTATACATAGCCCATTGTGTATCAAGGTTCAAAATATCGATACAAGATTATATATCGGTAGGCCTGTATTGGTATTTCTTTTTATTTTTATTTTTTTAATTTTTATCAAATCTGATTCAAAGGGGCTGGTCTACCCCTGAACCACCCGACCCGAAACACCTCTTGGAGTGTATTGGGAAGGGTCTGATATGATATGTATCAGGACGGGGTAGTCCGGTAGAAGTAGATCGCATCATACATCAATCTGAGATCTCATCTAGTCGTTCGCAGTTTGATCTACCGGGGTGGCCCCGAGGTTATTAATGCAATTATAAAATATCCAAGGAGATCTATTTACATGATGCCAAGGTGTCAACCAGGTATTCTGAGATGCTACATGTCATAATATCATTGGAAGACCAAATTATTCTTTATCAAGCATAAGTTAAAATTTTTAGTTATAGGTTTTTTAACATGTTATATAGCTTAATGATTAGAATTGTTGATCGCATCTAATATATACATTAAAAGGAAAACCTCCAAACAAAAGAGATTCTCCTTTATATTCGTGGTATTTTTTTTTTCAAGAAACAATATACAAGAAATGGGTATTAGATTCTCAAATAGAAGCTTTATTCCTTAGACATGCATGTGTCTATTCATTCTCAAAAGAAAAAGGTAAAAAGTGTTAAACACATGACTATCCATAGAAAAATGCAAAAGCAAACCAATTTTGCATTTTTGAATATATATATTTATGTTGAACATATTTGCATTTGTATTCTTACCAAGCACAACATAAATAAAATGCAGTCTCTCTCTCTCTCTCAGCATAGAGCTCACATTTGCCTTGCAAAATTAAAATCCCCATAAGGCCAACCTAAATATAAACCCTATTTTTGACACAACCTAAACATAAGGGTGAATTCTTATATAAAAGTCCAAAGAGGCATAAGTATGAAATTGTATTTTAGCTAAGTTATTAATTTCTTGTTAAGCACATTTTTTAGCTATATAAAAAAGAATAAATTTGAAAATAACAAAGAAGGAACAAAAAATTACTTTTTATACTATTTTATACATAAAGAACTAAAAATATATAAAAACTTTGATGAATCATTATTACTTCATTTTCTATTTTTAAAAAGCAACCTACGCATCACATGGATCACCACTGCCGGTTTACATGAAAGAGAAATCACATGGGTCACCGTTGGTTTATATGAAAGAGAAATTAAGTTTGAGGAAGGTCTTTCATTTATTTATATTTGGGGAGGGGTAAAGCTATTTTTAGTTTGATAGAAAATAAGAAAAAAACAAAAGTTGTGAAAAAGCTATTAGCAAAATTGATGTTGTCCCCATAAAGGATTAAAGTATCGATATCAACTATCGTATCGAATAATTTAGATATGGATATGGATACACTTTGAAAATGCATAGATATGAACGAAAGATTTAGACACGCTAGGGAAATATACACAAATACCATAAACATATTAATAACACTAAATTTAAAATCAAATAACCACAAATAATGTATAAATACCTAGGACATGTATATTTTAATGGTATGTATGAAAAAATATATTACAATTAATATGTCAAAATACATAAATATCACAATTTTATAGATAATACATCAATCAAGAGTCCAATACACAAAATATGCACATATTATATTTTAATTATTATATCAATTATTTTCTATTTTATTATTTCTTACTTTTTTTACATTAACAAAAAAGTTAACCAAATATTAAATTCTTAAGTGTAAATTAAAATATCAATTTAAAGTATATCAAATTTGTTAAAATTTCTAAGAAATATATATATATATATATATCAATTAAAAAATTATATTATATACAAGTTACAATTTTTTAATTGTTAATATAATTATTACATTAAAAAATTATATTATATATAAGTTGGACTAGTGGTTTACGGGTGAATTTAAAATACAAGCACATGGCGTGTAAGGAGACTATAGGTTTAAATCAGCCCTTCACACGAAAATCTATTTTTAACAAAAGGCGTGGCAGCATGCACAATCATATCGATATTTAAATCCTGGATTCCCCATATGATGAGAGATGGAGAGAGTGAGAATTAAGGTAGGAGGAAGCAGTGCAAAATTTACATAAGCAAATGAATGCAGAACTGAATCAAGTGCACAATCTGTTATAAGGTTCAGCTGTGCATTGCAAATAAACGCAGCCTCAAAGGCATTGCCATATACTATTGAACTCGACACTGAAACTGTATCACTCCTTGCCAGTAACTATGAAACCCTTTGCTTGTGCCAGACTGCCGGTCATAATCGGCTTGCTTCTAGAAACTAGATTTCTGCCATGCTTGGGCAACCAGGAAAAATGTGTCATCACCTCCTGCTCCTGTTAATAATACTCAAAGCTCTGCTCAAGTCCTAATTTATTAGCACAGAACTCCCAGTTACATAGCTGGATAACAAAAACAACATCAACAAATTCGTGCCCTACTTCTGTATGATTTGATTATTTCAAGTTAGACTGATATGTGCACATGAACCATATCAAAAGAAAATCATCAAGCCCCAAATGATCAATCAAAATTTAATCCAAAGATGACAAAAGCAGGATTAATTGCAATTATAATAGTTAACTTATTACAAGTGTGATCCCCATTAAGCATGTAAACCCAAAAAAGACACTACTGTTTGAAAACACAAGGCATTACATTTGCCAAGAGAATCAATCCACTACTGTGATGGAAGCAGGAAATTCTGTTGGGGCAGAGAAGCAATCAACTTCAACAAATAGTGGGGTCACCAGCAGCCTTCACTCATTCTTCAGGTGTATCCGAACGAATAGCTAATTAGCAACCATAAAAAGAAAGATTAGCAAGGAAAGAAAAAAGTATGACCACATAGAAGAACACAAATAGTATCAAACATTTTGGTTTTGATTATATAAACAGTACAGGCACAAAAGAATAGAGAAAACATGAATTGAAAAGATGAATGATTGGATGCTACCATGTTAATGCAACAATAATAACTAGTACAAGTTCAGATCTGCTTAACACAAAACACTGGCACATCCTGCGCACGAGACCGGATCTGCTCCTCACAGAAGGTGCCTCACACATGCCTCACAAGCACATCCTACCATGCATTGGGAACATCTCCCGTACTTTTAAGTTATTATTCACGGGAGATGTTCCCAATGCACGGTGGATATGCATGTGAGGCGCCCGAGTGTGAGGAGCAGATCCCGTCTCCCTGCGCACAAGGCACTGCAGCCGCACAAGATGTAGCATTATATGATCAGCGGATCCAGACTCAACTCATGCATACCACGCACATACTGAGATTCTAAATCTCAGATCTCAGACATCATTTAACGCATAAATCTGCCCAACCATATTACCTCGATCAAAATAGTAACATAACCGGGTTAACAGTAAATATTGCACCATATTTAGTAGGTGGAAGTTCCAATAGGTGGGCCCATTAACCTAACGATGCATTATAAACTTCATTGACAATTCGACATAACGTCCACAAAAGATATCAGAGAAACATATTTCATTGATAGATCACTATCTTATTTTTCCCCCTTCACACATGGATTTTGCAGGGATTAGGTGGAACATAATTCTAAGGGACATGATGTGAATGTAGACCCAAGGATATCCAATTCGTTGCATCTCTCTCCCCCTCTCCCTCCACACTACCTCAATTTAAAAATCCAAACACTATTTCAACTTCAACTGAACATAGTGTGACTTTTGGTCTCCTGGGTAATTACTGACTTGAATCCGGGAAGAAAAACAAAGGCTCCGTTTGATTTGTGGGATGGGAAGGGAAAATATAGAACATTCTGGAATATTCCTCCCTTCCCATGATTGGTTTGTGTGATGACTTGAAATGGGATGGGAAAAATGTGGGATTATAGATTCCAATTCTTGGCATGTGGAGTCCCACCATTTTGGTGGGAAACAAGTGGGAATGTAGGGGAAACTTATTTAACAAAAAAAAAACCTTCCTTGAAGTATTTCTAAGAGTTAATACACAAGATCCATGACCCATAAATAATTTTTTATTTATTTAATAACAAATTAATAAAACAATTTAATTAAAACAAATGATAAATCATTAATAAAAATATTAATCAATAAATAATTTAATGATTAATTTATTTTTCAGAATAAAATATTAAAAATATTAATTAATTCATAAGTATTAATAAAAGAAAATAGTAATAATAAAATACAAACTAATAAAAATTAAAATGTTAATTAACTAATTACTATCAAAATAATAATTAACAACAAAATGCTAAATCACAAAAATACAATGAATTAATTAAAAATTAACAACAAAATATTTAATAATTATTTAATTTACTAATAAATAAATAAATAAATATTTTTCTTAAATAAATTAAAAGAAATAATTATCAATAAAAATAACTTAATAATTTATGAGTAATTAATATTAAAATATTAAAATTATTAAATGAGTCATTGGTATTAATAACTTATAAACTAATAAAATGTAAAATATTAATTAATTAACGAACTATGGATTGTAAATAATTAATATCTCCTAAATAATAGAATACTAAAGCAACTATGTGGAATGCCACTTCCTTCCACAAGTGAAAGGGCAAACCATGAAGCCAAACGGTAAGAGGTCCTTCTTTTGGCGACCACTTGTTCAACAAGGGACACCAATGGTGAATTAACACCCAACCTTCAACAGTTTCAAAGCTTAAGGTATCTTGTTCCTTCCCCTGAACATCTAGTATCGCCTTATCTTCACCAAACGGCCTTATCAACGTCGATGATCTTATTTTCATCACCTCCAGTACTTTTTCTAGAATTTGTTTCCAATCAAGGCTTGGTGTTCCTGTTGTGATTACAAATTTCTTTTTCCTCCTCCAACGAAAGATTCGGTTCCATAGAGGATGACCGGAATGAATAAATCAAATCATCAATAAAACTAGCTTTCTCCTCCAGCAGTCTTTTTCCTTTCCTCTTTGTAAAATCTAAAACGCTTCTCTCTGTTCTCTTCTAATTCAAACTCTTTTTCATCTTCACTTCTTCTAACTTTGAGCCTTTACCGAAATGTTTCAAGTCCCTTGATTACTCCAAGAACTGTTGTAGAGCTTCCACCATCAACCTCCAGTCCTTCTCGTTTCTTCCTTTTGGGATGTAGACTAGTCATTCTTTACCAAGACCAAACAACTAAGAAAGTGTCATGTAAGCTCCTTTTCAATTTTCCAATGACTCTGCCCAGTAAACAATGCTATCAACTTTGATGGAAACCTTCCAGTGCACTTGCCTTGGGGAGTGTAACACTCCCTCTAGGAAACCCTTGAACCACAAGGGAGCATTACCTTTTAACATGATTATTGCCTTCGAAAGTTCATTAATCTTCAGGACTGAACCCCTTCTCATTTTGATCTCCTCTAGTGCGAAAGGCTTTGCTTCAACCTCGAATTTCCACCTCCATCTGTTAACGCGAACAAAAGACCTCTCGTCTTTCATAGTTGACCCCTATGACAGTTCAATTATTTCCTTGGCAATTTTAAACTAGTGCCAATGTGTGTATGTATATGTATATGTAGATAGGCATATGCTCTTTAAAACTTAAATAACAAAGACTTTTTGAAAGGATATTTATTAAAGAGTATCGTCATCCATAATTATGAGTATTTTTCATTTAAGAAAGACATTGAAGGTTCAACAAGTGTGATATTTGAAGAATTGATTAGTATGGAGGAAATGGAGACAAAGGATGACAGTAAGGAGTCAAGGCTATTTAGGGAGGAGGAGATTGAGAAGTCAGATGAATTATTAGGTAGAGATGATCTAGAGTTTCATATGGATAAAAAAGAGAAAAGTTAATAAAAAGATGGAATTGAGTAAGGTACTAAGGCCATTAATAAATAAAGAGATTAAGAGATAGTAAGGTGATGGGTGTTCTACACTTCTACTTGGGTTCACTTTTGCTATGACCATGGTTCGCAATTTCAACACTAATGAACATTCCACCATGTAAAAATATGGAAACTACAGGGATATTTTGCTAATTTCACTAAGATATTTGGAAACCAAAAAGGTTAGGGAAATTTTCTAAAACATGAATTTGTTAATAGACATTAAAGGAAATGTTAGTGTTTAAGGCTAAAAAACCATAGAAAACAACCTTATGTACCAAATAGAGAAGATTAAGGGACTTAACAGGTATCTTTCTCTTTGTTTCCCTTTTAGTTTTTTCTTTTCTTCTCTTTATTAATTATTACACATGCCATTTTCTTTCCATTATGACTTTTGTCTTTTTATTCACTATGTGCAGTGTTTTAAAAGCACAAGGCGCAAAAAAGACATAGAGGTCAATTTGCACCTGAGGCGCAAGGCGAGGCACGTGCCTTTTTGAAGCAAGGCGCAAAAAAACCAAAAAAAAAGGCTAAAAAATAAAAAATACCAAAAAAAACATAATATTAATAAAAATATAAACTTAAATTTTAAAATAAATGTTTTAAAAAACCTATTATCTAAAATTAAAATACATAAACATAATATGTAAAGCATATTCAAATGGGAATTTAAAAATGAAATCAAACATATAAAACATTTTCAAGCATATAAAACTTTCTCAATTACATTACTTCAAGTAGCTAAATGTGACATATTACATTCCTAATTCTACAAGCCGCTTTTGTGCCATGCCCCTCGAGGCCAGCCCAAACAAGTCCATGTTAGGGTCTTAAATTCTTAGTTTTCACACAAAAAATAATAATTGTATAGCTTTAATTGCTTTTTAAGAAGATATTTTATTAGGATGAATGAATAGACAACAATACCAAATAGAGGGTTCTCGAAGCTCTAGGGACATAGATATAGATATATTAGTTACTTTTCATTCAACTGACAACTGGTAATAAACTGATAGTATCATCTTTCAAAAAAAAAAAAAAACAGAAAAGAAATAAACTGATATTATGTGTTTTTTCATTGTACACAGCTTAATACATTTGCACTACATAAATGTTTTCATTTCCCCCTTAAACAAGCTCCAATTTAACACCACACCGTGCTTCTGCACGGGTCTCTATTAGCAATCTGTTTCTACACCCATCAAACGGCCAAACCAAATCAAACCATTTAAAGAGAACAAAATAAAATAAGACATCAATACGTCCCCCTTAAATAAAATCCAATTTAACACCACACCGTGCTTCTGCACGGGCCTCTATTAGTAATCTCAATTCTATACCCACCAAACGGCCACACCAAACCAAACCATTTAAAAGAACGGAAAAGATAAATAAACGAAACATCATAGGTTAAGCAGAAATCCCGAAATTCAAACAATATCAGATTTTCCAAACAATCTCAATTAAAACCAAGAGACACATGCACCGAACGGAAACCCTAGATTTTCAATTTCAAATAGTAACTAGAGTCCAGAAATGAAGAAAATTATAGATTTATAGAAGAAAGGGAGGGGAGATCGTACTGGGTTTCTGGGGTTTGCCGTCTGCCCACTTGGAGACTGCGAAATGCACCTTCTCTCGAGTAAGGGCCTCCGTCTTGTACGGCTCTTTCAGGCAGTTGCGTACCAGCGATGCACATATGTTCGAGTACGTTATGTAGGTCATCCCCGCCGCTCTCCAGAACGGCACCGCTGCGCTTGATCCCGCCGCAGACGCCATCTCGCTCTATTCCTCAGGTTCTCTTTTCCTCCCTCTACTTTCTCAACGACTCCTCTTTCGTCTCTCTCTCTCCTTTTAGAGGTAGGAGTAATCATGAACCGGATTTGGAACATATGTCAAAGGTTACAATCCGATCCCGGACCCGGTTAGATTCGGCCCGATATAAGCCCAATCTGGCTTTGGGCCCATATATAAAAGACAAATTACTTAAACTATCCTTATCGTTTAGCTAATTGATTAACTCTACCTAAAAGTGTAAATTGTGCTGTGTAGCCCGCAGCCCACATGCCGGTATAGCCCAGCCTATGGGCTCGTAGTAGGCCGCGTTTTGCCTAATAACCCAACGGCTAGTTTCAGTTTTTTGAGGGATTTATTTATAGAAATACTCCCAACAATTAGAAACAGCTATATAGGAGGTATTTATATATTTTGGTTTTAGGGGAGAAAGAATGACACAAAAGCCTCCCAACAACTATATAAAGCTAGTTTGGGGGACATTTTAGGTAAAGTGATAAATAACTTTATAATGACCAAAATACCCCTCCCAACAATTAAAATACGTGTAGTTTTTAGGGTATTTTGGGCAATTGAATAATTTTCAATTCCTATAAATAACCCTATCCTCCACCATTTTCAATTCTTGCAATGATCAAAGTCAAAAACAATAAGAGAAAATGATAAAGTCAATATTTTTTGTATACTCAATAGTTGTATAGCATTTTTTCAAATTATTGTAAATTTTATTTAATTTATTTGATATTTTTAATAGCATAATTTTTTATTTTCAATTTATAACTATATTATATTTTTTATATTTTATTAATTTATTCCAATTTTCAATTGTCGTATTTCATTCATCCAACCATTGTATGTTTTGTATCATTCAAATTTAAATAAGATAAAATTCTAATTTTTCTTCCAATTTGTTATTCACTTTGAGTCTTTGTCTCTTTGACTTCTTAATTCGTTAAGTTTTTTTTTATTTCTTTGTTAGATTTTTTATCTTTTCAAATAGTTTACAAAAGAAAGTTAAATATTTTAGTTTTACTTAGCAGAGAAATAAACAAATTGACTTCCAATTTGTTGCCTTGATAGATTTTTGATGAAGCATTACCTTTTAGTTCTTATTTGTATGATGAGAAATTCATCTATGCATCATTGCATAAAATTGTAGTCCCTTGTTACATAGTTCTATGCCTCTCAGTATAATTGGTTAATGGGAATTGAATGCACTAATCTGCTTGTTAATTGGATTTGGAATCCGGTTTCTTTTGTTTTTGACTATCTTGAGTCATATGAGTTGTTAAGTTATTTTTCTTAGTTGGAACAATTGAAATATGTAGTCTAACATGCTCTTTCTTGAGAAGGAACTTTTTTCCCATTTTCCATGGGTAGGTACGAAATCTCTGCTAGAACGAAATAGAAACATACTATCCTTCTACTCAACAGCCCCCAAGGTTTGGGTGTACTTATAATTATTTTAGGAGTTGAAGTTTGGAACATCAACTAAAGGTCAAAATAAGCATAAATATTTTGAAGTACTTAAATAATAAAACCCAACTTCAGATTCAGCCATTAAGGAGACGACAACCTCCTTGAAAACTTATTCACTAAAAGTCAAAGTAATAAGTCATTCGGTTAAGCCACATCATCTGTTACCAAACAGGCCATCAGTTGAGTCACTTCAGCTGTTATCAAATGGCCCCCAAGTGTTGAGATATTAAATATTTTCCTTTGGATGCTGATTTGTATATTGTGCAAGGAAATGCTTGGATCTCAAGTCTTGTCAAGAAATAGCAGTAATAGTGGTAATACCCAGACATGACACGTTCCAAAATGTAATAATATAATAGAACTAGCATAATTATACAACAAGAATGGTCAACAGACCTTGGTTTTTGTATTTCTCATATTAAATGTTCAATTCCTTGTAGGAACTTAAATAAACTTCACTGCTTGTCTAAAATGTTCAAACATATTCATAGACTATAGATGAAGAGACTATTTGGTTTAATTGGGAACATAGGTGGAGGTGTTGGTTTGGGAGGATTGAGGGATAAAGTGTTTCTTTATTGGGTAAATAGTTCTAAGATTATAAAGAGATATAGGAAACCTTGGCATTCAGTGATAGAAATCTTAGTTGTTAATGTGTTGCTTAAGCACCTGCCTAGGAAATAAGGTGCCCTTAGTGAGGTGCCTAGCTTTAATACCTTGACTTTATGTAAGAATAGTACGTGCCTAGGTGATAAAGTCACAAGCTAGGCATCTTATTATAATATTGTTACTGTGGTTGCATCTTATTAGTTTGTACCATATCAATAGTCTTCTGGTTTGTTTAAGAAGAAAAAATGGGATATGATTCAAAGAAAAGGTCCAAGATAGGGTCATTATCATAGAAAACATCACAATGAAGGTATCTATTGGGGGAAAACATCAAAGTCAGGGTACCCATTTGGTGAAAACAACATGGCATTTCATTTCCTTCTCTACTGAGGGCATCATTAGAGGATGATAATGGGTAGGAAATTCTTCTACTACTAGAGCTGTTGTTATTTCATAACAGAGACCATTAGCATTGAATGCTATCCAATGAAATGGACAGATGTAGCAGAGGCAATTTGGGCCTATCGGGATTAGGGAATATGAGGGATCTATAGGAACTGCAGTGGAGATATAATTGCATTATTTTGTGGACCAAATAGGCCATGGTAATTCTACAAGCATGAAGTTGTCAACAGTGTTATGAGGGGCTGAGGCTGGCAAGAACCTTACACTTCACAAGCCTGATAATTGAGGGATATCCGAAGGTAGTGATAGGCTAGATGCTACAATATGTGTAGGAAAATGGACAACTGCATATTTAAAGGGAAGGAGGTTGTTTAAATTCATGGAGTGCATTCTATCTTCACTTGGCATTCAAAGAATTTCAAGGTATTAATTGCAAACTTCATGAGGAATCCAATATTAGTACTGCATTCCTCAAATGGATTTCTTTCTTTTATTAACTTCTCTAGTGGGGGAGATAAAACTTCATTTTTGCAGAAACTCCATTGGGAACCCTAGAACCTGGATCAACTGCAATTGGAGGAGTCTTTACTGAATGTGGTGGGGCCTCTGAAAACTAGATTAGAAGATTGAATCAAAGTTTGGGCGGCAATATTTCTGAGTGTTTTATAAAAAGTAAATTGTCTACTTATTTTGATTGTTGCCTCCTTTTTGATTGAATCTGTTTTTGCATTTATAGTTTCTATGTTGGTTACATGAGAAATATAATGCCAATCATTGTAGTTGGATTCCAACTTCCAACAGATCTAATGTAAGAGCTATTGGATACATTATAAGATCTTTAGGTAGCGTTGCTTCAAACTCCTGCAAAGTAGGCTTCAATTCTAGGGGAAATCTAGAGAATAGTTGATGGTTTTCTTCTAAAGCACATATAGAGAAGAACAAAAATTAACTCAATCAGTTCTCGTCTAACTCTGCTATTCTAGGTGAATTTATGTGTATATATAAAACTCAAAACTTAGGAATTTGGCAATTACAAAAAACTGTAGCGAATCCTAATTTCATCAACTCTCGATAATAAAAATAGAAACATATCAAAATGGTAGTTTACTTAAACTAATAGTTTCCTAAACTAAAAAGGAAACTACTAATTGCAAATCTTCTAAAAAAATATAGGAAGCCCTCTAAAGATTAAAAAAAATATAGAAACTATAAATATAGAAGTTGTTGTCAGCTTCTAAACCTAAGTGTAGCCATTGATTCATTCTTCTCTAATATGTTTTAGAACCTTGAGATGCATATTTAGGGGGTGGAAAGGCTTTTTAAATGACAATTGCTAGTTGCTGGAATTGTTGATTTGTGTACTCATTATTGGACATCCTTACAAATCCTCTCTTATACAAACTCCAATCAATGCATTTGTCCATATTAAGATAATACTTTGTCTTTGTTCTTACCTTCCAAGGTGAATAATCTGTTCATCCATCAATTATAAAAAATTAATAAATAAAAAACTTGTTCATCCATTGCTTTTTTGCCTTTGTGATTTGGGGACATCTTTTTAAGATCTATGATTTAGGTAAACCCCAAGGACATAATTCATTTATTATGATTTGTGATGTTGGTCTAATGACATTTTTTCCTCTTGGGAAAGGAAGTGAGCTATTTGTAGAAGTCTGCTTCTTGCCACTCTTTATAGTATTGTGGCAAAAGAAATTTCAGCTTCTTCTAAACTGTTAGCATTCTCGACGACTATTTAATAAAATCATCATTTTTATTGGAAACGATAACTTCATTAATACAAAATTAAGTGCAACCGTCAACCTCTAAACAAGTATCAAGCCCCCAGTAATCTTTATTTCAAAATTGTCCACAATATGGATTAAAGTAGTGAGAAATGATTCAAGGGACTATGATCTAATAATGGATATGGTACTAATAGAACAGAATAATAGAACAAGATTCATGCAGACAACCCCATATACCTAGAGAGAAAATAATATATATTCATGTGAAGCAAGGAATTTGGTTTTCTAAAAACCAAACTCTTCTTTGTAATTGTGCTTAGGTACAATGTTTTCATTCTTGATCTCATCTAAGCATTCCTTTTATGTTTGAGTTTCTTGGTTCAAATGCTTGTCTCGAGCATACCAAACACTATCTTACAAAGATAAAACACATTTCAGTGTTCTAACCATTACCAGTTAAATTAGGAAGTTTTCATTGCATTGGTCATCTTTGGAGTAATCAGTCATATAAAATGGATAGGAGTTGGATTAATCTTCCAAAGTACCCCTCATAGTACATAACCATTATTCTAGGTATAAGTTTCAGAATATAGAATTTGGTTTGGTAATATGTACTTTGGGATTCAATGCATTGTGTAGGGATGATCCAACATATATTAAAGGAGTGCAAAAATTTATCGAATTTGTTGTTGTTAATGGATCTCGTGGTGATAGGATATTGTGTCCATACCAAAAATGTGTCAATGCTTCATTAGAAGATAAAGAAGAAGTCTTGACCCATTTATTGTGGAATTAGATGATGTGAAGTTATACTAATTA